CAGATTTCTGATTTAAAATCTATACACCATCCAATCTTGTAGTCGTGCTGTTCATATCAATGAGTAAGTCTCGAAACAACTTATTTATTGTGATTTAGGTGCTCTTTGTCGTACACTATGAATAATAGAAAAATATATTAAAGAATATAAAACTTAGAAATGTTTTTGTGAAACATAGTAAAAACAATTTGTGTATGTGTGTCTTATATATATATATATATATATATATATATATATATATATATATATATATATATATATATATATATATATATATATATATATATATAAAATATGCCTTGGAGAAAAATCATCAAACAAAAGTTTGCTGACATTTAAAGTAACCATTTTAAGACATTAAACCACGTTTTACTTAGAAGTTATAAGGAACAAATGGTCGATACTTTTATCTAATGAGAAAATCACACTGATCACAATAATATTATATTATTATAGAGATCAGTGGCAAATCCAGGTTTAGCTTTTTTTGTAAAATCAAGACCCGAATTATTTAAATTTATTTAAACCGTTTATACTCATTTTCTTATAATAATTTGCGATAGATAAATAACTATTATGTATATTATATTAAATAATTATTTAAATAAATAAATAAATATTTAAATAAATAAATAAAAATAAATATATTATAGCAAAATTTGTTATAACTTATCACTATTATAACGAATTCGATATTTAAGCGCTTATTATATTCGGGTCAGGATTTTATTAAAAACGCGAAACCTGGATTTGCTCATTAGAAAAAAGTTTTGACTGGAACAAATGTACCGATCCGCAAATAGAGTTGTTATTAACTAACTGGTTTTTAATAAAACCCCTTACAATAAATTGATATTATACCATGTTATTACAGAGGTAGCCAGAATATTATTTCACTTTTAAAAAGTCTAAATTTATAGCCATTTATATATATATATATATATATATATATATATATATATATATATATATATATATATATATATATATATATATATATATATATATATATATAAATGGCTACCTCTGTAGTAACATGGTCTAATCAATCAATCTTTAAGGACGCACAAAAACAAAGACCCAAACATTTTTTATTCTTTTCTCGGTTTTAATTTACAAAGTTTATCATTTATTTGATGATATGCAAAAAAATTGAGGAAATTTGGAAATTATAGTGTGTTTTATAAAGGTTTAGTGAAAACCCGGGTTTTTTTACCTCTGAAAATCCCGCATACAAAAAGGGAAATTTAAAAAAAAATTAAATAACTATTTTTTCATTAACTAATGCTAACTTGCTTCGGTTAAAAAATATTTGAAACATTAAAATTGATTTTTTTTTTCAGAAAAGTAAATAAAACCCTATTTCCGCTACGCGACGCAAAGTGCGATGTCGGGCCACGTGTTCATGCTATCTGGGATTTCATACATACTAACAACTTTTATGAACATATTTAGATTAATTGAATAAAAATAGAATAAATAAATTATAAAAATACTTTATTTAAAATTATAAATTTTATGTAATAAAAGCTAATTTAATTCAAAAAGTCTTTAAAGTTCTGTTTTTAGTTTTAAGAAAAATTCATAAGGTTAATTCTTTTTTAAAATTTTTTAAAAAGAGCCTAAAACACAAGCCGCCTTACTCAGGGTCAGTGTATAAGGGGTAGCGTGTGTGTGTGCATAGAGGAATACTATACCTTCGACTCCCCTAAACCATACATCCTTTTGCGTTGACAAACTAGGACCTTTAGTCAGAAAATTTGGTTAGCTGGCAAGTTATGGACAACGATCATTCGGTTGTCTTATTACCAACTTCCTTGTTCATAATCAAAGATAGTTATTCAAAAAAGAAATTAAAAAAAAATGAATATCAATAATAATAAAAATTTAAATTCAAAGAAGATTACTTTTATATTTAGGGGAAAATGGGGCAACATGGCGAACGTTTTGAAAGCCCTGAGTTATTGCAAAACTATCAGTCGTGAAGCAATAATACTTTCTCAGTATGTTTATGTTATTAAAATGATTCGTTACCTGCATGAATTTTCAGTTTGCAAATATAACAATTCGAAATAAATATTAAAATAAAAAGTTCATAAATTTGTCATCTGGTCACATGACCGGGGCAAGATGACAAGTGTCTAACTCGGGGCAATATTTAGTCCTGATGGCGTCACGCTATAATTTTTTTTTTTTTGAAATCAAACTAAAAAAATGATATTTATGTCAAACTTTAAGTTAACTTTGTCCTGAAAAAAATTTCAACCACTCATGTACAGATTTTCAATCGGTGAGTAGTTATTGGGTATCCAGTCGTTAAATCAAAAATTTTTCGATAACATAAACACGTTGGCCCGACGTAGATTTTTACAGCGGCCGATTTATTAGATAAATAAGAATGGGAAATAATCGAAAAATACATAATAAAACGACAAAAAAATTATCTGATTTTTAATTATTATTTAAACTATTTTTTATACAATTTAAATAATTATTAAATGATAAAATCTAAAAAATAGTTAACAACAATTATTTCACCAACTTTCGAAACATGTCGATATACGGTGCGCCAATTATACAGTTGATTCAATGTTATTAGTTATAACTAGGGTGTTTCTGCATCGCAGGACATTTGTCATCTTTATGTATCTTCATTGTTTATTAAAGTATTGTTTTTAATCAGAATATATCTTACTTCCTCTAAAAAGCAAATTAATATATAGTCTGGAAATAAAACATTATTGCAAAATCTTTCACAAATTTATACTTTATATCATACCCATGAAGTATTATTACAGTTTGTCATGAGATTTCAATTACTCTTTATTGAGATTTATTAATCTAAATATTAACTTATTAACTTATTATACAAAATATATCTACATATAAATCAATTTATTACTATTCAAAATATTTACATTTAATATAATAGTATTCTAATAAAAATCACCTTATTAATTTTTTCGGAAAAAGCAATGACTCCAAACAATTTTTTTGTGTACGATGCAGAAAATGGTTTCATTCGGAATGCGACATTGGCATAAAACAAAATGAATATTATCATTGCTCATATTGTTTATAACTAATTTTAAACTATCTTCGTACACAGTATCTTATAACCTGTTTTATATATATATAAAAAACTCAAATGCATTATTTTTACTTTTACATCAACAGTATTTTTTTTTTGTTGCAAAATTTAGTCTCTTAAGGTAAATTGTGAAAAACATAAAAAAAGTATGAACCTTTGATAAAGTTTTTAATCAATAAAACCAAGGGCGTGGAGTCGTAAAAAAAAAGTACAACTCCGACTCCAGTTATTGAAATTTTTTGAGCACAACTCCAACTTCGACTCCAACTCCAAAGCAAAATTTTTGAAAAATTCTATGAACTCTTTAAAAAATATTACGCGATAAGTTAAAAATTTCTTTTTTGACAAATTTATGAAACGTTCTTTGAGGTTTAGTATGAACATAAGGTTAGTTGAATGTTTTGTATATGCACGTGTAATACCGAGTTGTTTAGCAACTCCGACTCCGCTATAAATGTCACAACTTCGCAAATCCGACTCCACAGCCCTGAATAAAACTAGAGTGGACATTTGATACAGTGAAAGAATTTTTTTTTTTAATATTTAGCATTTGGTTAGTGGTGATTGGATATCACTCGTTTTAACAAAAGCAAAATTGAAATATGAAGCATTTTGATAACGTTTATGAAACCAATAATAGAAAACCTTATTAGAAAATTTACGTTAGCATAACGTAGGAAATACTATGTTTTAAATGTACATTGAGGTTTTCAACGCTTTGTTTACTCAATTATTGAGTCAGCTAAGCGCAGAAAACCACAACGCACATTTAAAACATTGCATTTCCTACGTTATGCCGACGTAATTTTTCGAGCCGATATTTATATCGGCTAGAAATTTACGTCACGTTAGCCCGACGTCGAACCATTGTGTTTATGCTATCTGGGAAGTTTAAATGCAAAAAGATGATAAAGCAAATTTTTTCTTTATCTTTTTTTTCAACAAAACAACCTGTTTTTTATCTTCTTTTTTTAAACGTTGCATTAAATTAACTTTTAACTAAGAATTGAAATTATTATTTTATTAACAATTTTATATTATTACTTTTATTTCATTAAGGATATTAAAATATATCAAACTCGATTTTTTTAAAAAAAAATTTCTAATAGTTTCCAAATGCTAATAGGGGCCATCCATAAAGAACGTCATCCAAAATAGGGGGGGGGGGGGAGAAGTCATTTTATAGATTTTTTATTTTAGTTTAATTAACATGGAAAACTACGTAAACGCGTTTTTTTTGAGAAGATAATATATGAGAATATTTTTAATTTTATTTTTCAAAGGTGTAGCAGCCGATTCAAACATTATTGCAAGGTGAAATAAATTTTTTTGGAGTTAAAAATAGGGAGGGTGGTCAGGATTTTATGACGTCCTTTTCCACGGGGGTATAGAGAAAAAGGACAACCGATGACAAAGGAGGGAAGAGGAGGGGGTCAAAAATTAGCTGAAAAATGGTGACGTTCTTTATGGATGGCCCCATAGAACCAGTCACTTTTTCGTTTCAATGTTTTTTGCTTTAACGACCCTGAAACAGTTATTGGGTTCATAGGTCTCACTTTATTGTATTTGTTGATTAAATTAAAAAATACAAATTAAATTAAATGTTTTAGCGACATTTCTTATTCTACGTAAAGTTATAATAAGTTATAAAACATCAAGAAAAATTAGTTATTACGATGCTGTTATTGATGTTTTATTACTTAAATTAAAAAATACAAAAAACGAAACAGTACAACTTTTCCATTAAGTATGTGACGTCATTAAGCGAGAAATTAGATATAAAAATGAATTCAAATAAAGTTTAAATAAAAACCGGGTTGAGCAATTAAAAAAAGAAATTCTAAATGATTGATTTCTAAATAAAAAACGGTGTTAAAGTAAATGTTTTTAAAAAGACGATAAAAGTTAGCGTTTATGGTGTACTGTTTTAAAATTTAACATCAAATTAGAGTACTTTCCTTTAGTTTTTAGACCTATGTTTTTGAATCAGCAATGTAGCTATGATTTTGTAATAAAAACAGCAAAAGGGTGAGGGGGGGGGGGAATGCGGCAAATAGCGCCGTTAAAATGAACATCATGGAAGTTTATAATAAGTATCTAAAATTACATTTTGAAATTCACCATCTGAAAAAAGATGCTTATCAAAGTATCAAGGAACAATTTTTTCAAAAAATGAATGATCTTAAAGGTCCACCTTGCAATAACGAGGTAATTAACTTTATTGTTTAGACACGTATAAAACTATACATTAGTATACCAACTTTAGATTCACTTATTAGTTTTACTTCTATGTACATTGGTATGATATTGGTGTATGTTCTTCTGTTACTTTTTTTTTTTTTTTGTATTACTGCTTTGTTTTGAATTGCAGCTTTGTTATATACTTTTATTCTAAATTGGTATTATTATGTATGAAGTGTCATAGGTGTTAAATTTTCATCTTTAATCTTTTAAAACTTACTATTATTTCCTACTAATGTTTACAAACTATATTTCATCCAATTTTAGTTTCCAGTTTTTCTACTACATAACATCCATTTTCACTTTTCAGTTTTTTTTTTCACTTTAATAATTTATTATGCCAAACTCTTCTGATTGGCATGGTTATCCAGAGAGGTAAAAATAACTTATTATCTAAAGATATGTCATTTGGCTCTTTTTCTGACTTAGAGCTCAAGCAAATATTATCAAATCGTGACTCTACATATTAGGGTTATCGAAAAACAACTTTTTTTGAATTTGAAATTGTAATAGAGCAGAAAAGTTGCAAAATTCTATGAAAGGTAAATGTGCCAAATTTTTTTTAATTTTTTTATGTCTTCAGTTCGTGCTAGGATTTAATTTTTCTTAAACAAACACATTTTATGACCTTTTTTACAAAATAAAAATAACAAATTCTATGCATTATCTAGAGTTGTAATTATAACTAGAGTTATCATTTTTAAGAAAATACTTTAATCTGTGTTATCTGTGCAGCGTTTTCCATGACATAATCAAGGAGTAGAGAGGTGGATCAAACTTTTAACCAAAACTTCAGATCAAGTTTGCGGTTTGACTATTGAAGATGGCTTCATTTGTTCAAGACTCGAATTGCAAAAAAAAATGCCTTTATTTAACACAAAAAGTCAATTGGAGACATCCAAATGAATCAGATAAATAAACTTTATTTCCGCTACACTTTAAACATTTTTCAAAAATATTTTTCACTTTATTAAAACTTTGATTGTACATTATGGACATGAAGAACTGAAGACAAAAAATTTTTTTAAAAATTTAGCACAATTACTTTTCATAGCATTTTGTAACTTTTCTGCTCTATGACAATTTCAAATTTAAAAAAAGATTATTTATTATTTTTCGATACACCCTAATACATATAATTCAATAAATAAAATTTCAGATCTTAATTATTCACATAGTTCAATTAGTTGCAACCATCGGAATTAGGTTTGGCATTTGGCAATGCCGACCTAACTGCCGACCTGAAAGTGTTTGAGTTCAGCTAAAAATTGCCAACCTTGTTACTATGTTTTATAGTCAGACCATTGTATCAAATAATTTTTGCCGACCTGATGCTGACCTCAAAAAGATTAAGATCAACAATAATTTTCTGACCTTATTTTTTTTAATTCTGAAGGTTGATTAGTTGTTATTGTTACACTATAGATTTCAATAACAAAATCAATTCTAACTGATATCTTTATATTTATCTCAATATTTCTTCTTTACCAATTCATATTGATGACCTCTACAGTTTTATTAGCACTCTTAATATATTACCTGTGGCAATAGGTATTAATGAACCGTATTTATATGTAAACAATACAAATATAACAAATATATCTTTAAATGGGTTTAATATTAAGCATTGCTCTAATGAGGCTTAAGAAGGGGTGCTTTTCTATTTTTAAGCTCCAATTTCAATTACATAGTTCGTAATGACCTAAAGATCTGCTATTTCAAATGTCTAGAATAATAGGTTCTATATTGAAGCCATAAAGCTTCACACACACACAAAAAAAGAAAATAATCAGATGCATATACTGACATCCCTCTATGTTTCAAGCGGAATTCACTACTAATTATTTAACTCCTCTATTAGATAAGCTAAATACGAAAATGTATTCTTTTATAGGATATGAATCTTCTAGGATATAATGAATTAAATCCTATTACTAGTTACATTGACTAGTTAACCTCCTTTTCTCTATACCCTGCTATAGTTTTACCAACACACATAAACAGCTAAATCACAGATGCTTAATGATTATAATTATAAACTTCCATTCATCTGACCAAATTTCTGGAAATCTCACTATTTATCAGCATTCCAAGTAAAACTAATCATCAACCCTTGGAATTAGGAAAAACAAGGTTGGCAGTTTATTGCCCACCTCAAATTGTTAGAGTTCAACATCAGGTTTGCAGGCTTGGACAGGAATGGCATGCGATCGAGCGCTATTACTGACCACACAAATGATTTTATTTTTTGATTGTTTATATGTTTTGATGATTAAAACAAGAAAAAAAAAAAGGAAAAAAAAAAATTCTTACAAAATAGAAATTATATAAGCACTTAAAAATAAAAATTAAAAGCTTAAACTTTTTGTTACATTTTTAATTGCATTTGAAATAAATGTTATTAAAACTTATATTTTTAAACATTTTATTAAAGTTACGCAAAACGCTTTTAAATTAAGTAATAAATTAGTACTAAAGATTGTTTAATAAATTAACAAATTTTATCAAATTTATTAAAAAGTTGCACAAAAATTATTTAAAAAAATAACGTAGTCTTTTTTAAAATAGTAATTTTTATTAATTTCATTCTTTAATTAGTCTAGTTAAAAAAAAAGTTTTTGACTTTTTTATTTGTAAAAATAGGAAAAAAATAAATAAATGAAATGCACCTGTGGTTTAAATAAAATAAACTGCCAACGAGCAACTTAATTTAATTTTAATTTGAGTGTTACAACTTCATTAATGAGCGCTTTAAATAACAAATTTAAAAATTACTATAAAAGATATAAACTTATTCGTTACTATCGTAATTGAATTAATTTTTTTTTTTTTTTTAAAATAAAATGTTTGTTTAAAAGATTTTTAAAAACGTAAGTTTAATTATAAAAATTAATTGTATGAAAATTAATAAATGGTTTAAAACTTTACTATTAATCAATAAGATATAAATAAATGAGATTATTTTATATTCTTGCATAATTTACATATAATGTGTAAAAGCTATTAGTCACAAAAGGTCTTGAACTTATTAAAAAAATTCTTTCTAAAAATAATGGTTTAAAAGTTTTTTAGGAAGACATTGAAAAATAGTTTCAAACATTTAAATTTATCATAAAAAATACATGCCTACATAATAAAAAATTTATATTTAAATTTACACATTATTACATTGATTTACGCGTTTGTGTAAACAATCATTATAATTATTTTTTATGGTTTTATTTAAAGCCTTTGCAAAAAATAAAAATTTTAGAAAAGATCAACAATTAAAAGTTTTTCATGGCGTAACACTTTTTTTTTATTGCATATAAATTGTTAAAACATCAAACTAGCTGTGTTCAAGTTGTAAAGAAAAAAACTGCAGTAACTGCAAGTAACTGCTGTAACTGCCGACCTCAAACATTTTGAGGTTGGCAGTTAGGTCGGCATTGACATATGCTGACCCTAATTCTGAGGGTTGAATCACCAAAAAAAAAAACTATATCTTCCAGGTGATGGTTTAAGAACTTTAGCAAAACTGCATTTGTTAAAGATGCTTCTAATGTTTGTTAGGATTTTTTTTTTGCTTAAAAAGATGATGATGTAAACCAATCCATAAATTAAAAAAATATAAAGAATTATTAACCGGCATGCACCATACAAACAACTAACAAAGTAGCAAAGCAAACTTAAAACAAAACCATAGATCACAATTGGCATACCTAGATTTATTTCCATTATGTAAAAATGTATCAATACTAGTACTAAAAATGAACTGTTTTTAGAATTGAAAGTATATAGAAACAGAATCAGCATTTTATCAAAGCTTAGTAAAAAAAATTTTATACCTAACCTTTTTAAGTAAAAACCTATACAATATCAAGAATACTTGAAAAAAGATAAAAGAAATCATTATTATTACTATTACTATTATACTTTTTTATACTCAATAAGAGCTGGAAACAGTGCGGTTAAGTTAAGAGTTTTATTTACAATAGTTCAATCATTATTTCATTGATTTGTTTTTCTTGAGTTGTTGTTTTTTTATATTATGTTGTTTTTTTTGTGTAATATTTGTTATTTTGTATTTCTCTCTCCGTTTGGTCTACTACTATTCAATATCTGATGGCCAGTTACAACAAATTGTCTCTGACCAATTTTTATACGAGAGTGGATTTCTATATGAGTTTTCCCCCTCAGGACGATCTACAAATAGGTAGTAAAAGGCTGGTAGACAATCTCTAGTTATATTATAACAAACAAGCTACATGCTTTTCTCTTCTATCTTTTAATGAGTCCAGTTTTAATTTAATAAAAAGAGGGGCTGAATGAGCATCTTGATTTGCTCCGCATCATTAATATTAAACCTTCTAACTATAGTTCAACTTTCAAATTTAGATTAAAAAAAAAATTATGACAGATCCGAGTGATGTATAGAATATATTTAACAACTTTTTTGTTACTATCCAAAATAAACTAGAAAACAAAATCATTCCTTTAACATCTAAATTTGCTTATCTTAAATTTCCAAATGCTAATTCGTTTTTATTGATCTTGTCACTAAGAATGAAATTTCTAATCTCATTAAAACCACTATTATAACTGGAAAAACCTTTGGTCCCAATAAACTTCCTATATTCTTTCTTAAACTTAAAATAAATACTGTTTCTAAACCTCTTAGTATTATGAATAACTCATTTCAAAATGGTTAATTTCCAAATACTTTCAAAGTTGCTATAGTTATACCAATATTTAGTAAAGGATCAACATATCATATATCAAACTGAAGAAAAATTACAAATTCAATCATAATGTACTTTATCGTACTTCTAAGATTCTCAAACTTTGTGATCGTGTTTAATTCCTAAATTGCAATTTTATCTGGAATCACTAACACAAAAACCTACCTTATACCTTCAACAACTTCTTCCCTAAAAGTGCAAATAACCATTACTTTCTTTGATCCATTAACAATTTGAACCTACTTA